ACTCACTATTTTTACTGACCACTTTTCAACGTTTCCCAGTAGCTTAACGGCACAGAACAAGATGGCCGACTCAGACACAAAAGTTTCGCCCTCCAAAGTAAACATTTGCGAGAATTTTCGAGAAAACGAACGTCTGGACATTCGGTTCCCTTTGTTCGTACCACATCGCCCTTAAACCGGGACTGATCATTCTTTCATCCCCCGCAATACATAGTTTTCGATGTCGAGGAGGCACGCCAAGAACGCGGGAGAAATATTCCATGGACGAGGGGCGAGGGCACATCAACTCGAAGCGAACCGTACGCGGTCCTCGTAAAGCCCAGACGCCTAAATGCTATTCCCATCACCCATCCCCCCGATCCTGGCCCCCGACCCTCGATAACCGCATCCCCGTGTACGGCGCGGACCCTTCGCGATGCTCGTCGTTCGCTGCATGATCCCGTCACCCTCCTTCTTGCATTCGTTCAGTCGTTCCACGGGCTTTCTGACGACGGGTAACGAGAAAGTGCCTACGGTCGACGCTTTGTCGTCGAAAAAAAAAAAAAAAAAAGAAAAAAAGAGAAGAGTATAATACCGTGTTACGGATCGTTCGACGCGGGGCGACCCGGCTCGAAAAACCTGTCACCAAATACATCAACGACGGCCCTTCGAATAATTTAAACAAAGGTAATATTAATGCAGCGATCGATCGCCATGGAATATTCAAGAACCTGCGAGTCGCATTAACCGCGTTTGCATCGTTTACGTTTATCAGGGGAATTTTAGTAATGGAATAATAAATTTTGGAATCCCATTTCTACATTTCGTAGAGTAAAAAATAATTTCCAAGTGCTTGATTTTATTAAATATTTTAATAAATAAATTTTTAATACAATTCGGAGAGACTTTGTTCGCTAATTTTTCGCTTTGAGGGGAATTTTAAAATTGATAACAAAATTTGAACGCAGTCACGTAGCACGTTTACGTCGGAAATTTCGATGAATATTGTAACGGTGATTCAGTTGGTACGCGATAAAATTAAGTATCTTTCGATGCGCAACGGAAGTCCAAGAGTGAATTACGGGGGGCTCCGGACAATGGGATTTTCGAGGGTTTCGCGGCTCGTATTGTTTACTTTGCGGCACATCTGAAGTTTAATGAATTAAAGTGAACCGAGGGGAGGGGGACGGGGAAGGCAACGAGAGAAATGAGATTGCAGAAAAATCGTGAGTGGTGTATTTGTCAAACACTTTGTGCTCGTTGGAGGACAGAGACGTTGAAAAAAGAAAACGGAGATTGCAAGAATAGGTAAAAGTAGCGAGAATGGCTAGACAGTGGCGCGATAAATCGCTCAAAAATTTCTCCAACGCGAAGCAGAACAATTTCGAAGAATATGAGGAGGATGATGGAAATAAATTCCGAATGATGTATCGAATGGGATTTTTCACAACACGGGGGAAACTGTACACAATTTACACGCAGTGGAACGAAGGTTCCTTCGAAATTTTGTTCATACGAAAATGGAGAAAAAAAATTTGAAACGATATTTTCTCTCAAATATATTAAATACGATATTGAAAAATTTTTACTTGGGACTTTTTATTTCAAATTTAATTCGCTCCAAGGATTTTTTAGAATTTTACAGTACTTGAATGTAGAATTTAATTGGAATTCGCTGCTTCGAGTATGATATCGCTAACGCGGATCCGCTGGTCATTGTTTATATTTGCGTTGGCGTCTTGTAAATATTGACGATGGTATGGTATTGTGCAAACTGATTCTAACCAGTTAGAAAGTAGTAAAATAAACAAAAGCCAAATAGTATTATACCCACCGTCGATGTTTGCAAATGCTAACGCAAGTAGAAAAGTCGAGTAATGGACAGACACGCCAGTCAAGACTCGATCGTATCTTACAAATTTTCAATATCGATACACTGTACTATCTGAGTTCTATTCTACACTTTTAATCGAAGAATCTACCAAACTATCCTCATTAAATTAATATTGTATAATAAAAAAAAAAAAAATTTCTTTTTATTTTATTTTTTTGGATTTGAATCCAGTCGAGGATTTTTTCTTATTTTCCGGAACTTAATCCTGAATGTCGTTATAACTTCCATCGAAAGGTGGTGTTACTCGCTGGGGAGGGAATCTCACGGTGAGTAAGTAGATCATGAAGTTTTCATAAGATAAAGACTGCACTGGATTGGCGCCGAACGCTCCTTGTGCGTTCGCTTCGACTGCAAATCTCCTTAAGACCCTCGACACTCCCCAGAGAAACGTTCTCGACTCAACGGGTTTGTCCATCATCGGGAAAAATACTTCTCGCCGCGTCAAATTTCTACCGTCGCGGTATCAGCGACGCCCAAAGCCACGTCGTTTAAATCTTGGCGCCGTAGTTTATTTTGTACCGTCAAAATGGCCGCCGCGCTGCCAGAGATTACGTTTTAATTGAGATTAAGTTTAAACACCTGCACCTGGGCATGCACCACGTGTCTCGTGAATTACATATACTCCTGTATTTATTCATTTCGGTATCACGTGTATCCGTCCTCCCGCGTTTAGCGTAATGAAACCGTTAAATATTAAATAAAATAAAACATTAATCAGATTTTTAATTTTTGTTATTTTCGTTCCAAGGTTGCGGTAGAAGCGTTTACGTTTCGTTTAACCCTCCTGTTTATCATTCGATAACCTTCTGAGACTGCCACGTGCAATCTTGTTCGAGCCATCGGGTGTTGCGCAACGTATTAGAAATTGCCATTTTGCATATGGACGCAAGCAACCCTGCGTTGTCAGGAACTATTAGAGTAGAAAAGTAGAACACATTCCCAGCGTTAAGAACATTGTGCATGATGCAACCGTATCGCGCGCATCTTGAAACTGACCAACTCACGAACCTCGATAAACAATAAACTCTATCGTTTTTCCTGAACGAGACTGGAAAAGATAATCCGACGGTGGTTTTGTTTTATTTTAACGTAACGCGACAAATCCAATCTATCCGCGATGACTCGTGAAACACTATCGAATGGAAATATGGCGACCGCGACACTTATTGGAAAATCCTATATTTCGATGGGTTCGCGAATGGAACGTGAAATGCAATTTCGTAGCCAGCGCGAAAAAGAGCTCGCCGACGATATATTAATACCGTGACGGCCGTGTTTCGATAGACTGTTTAAAATTGACAGGAAACAAAGGTGGGTAAAACGCGCGATATTTTCAGGACCGTAATATAATGCGGAAATGTGTCCCATTGGGTTTAATGAATTTCATGAAACCTTCGTGCACGGCTCACGTTAGCCCCCTTGGATGCTTTAAAACTTTCAATATTATGCCGCGCCAGCCAGCCATAACGCAGACTGAAATTCTAGCGCCGAGTAGAATCAGCGACGCCTCTCCGCCCCCCCCCCTCCCCCCCGTAATTAATTTTGACTTACGGCAGAACTCGACTTAAAACCTTGCTCTCACGGTCCTGGTTGGGGATTCAATTTTTCCTTATTTTTATTTATATCAACAACGTGTTATCTTGATCGAAGATGGCCCAACTTCCGCTTACTACTGCGCGGTATACGCTGTCGCTCACAGAGAACGTTTATAGCGGAAGAGCAACCACCGGGGACAACTTCCTTACAGTTGAAATTGTAAACAAGAGTTCAAAGGCAGCTTTCTTGGGGATTAATTGCAACTGTATAAAGTTCTGCTCGCGAGTTAACGGTGTTTGCTTCGCAATGTTCCAACAGCGAAATTTACTATAGTGATTTCCATAGTGATTGTATCGACGTGATAATGCTATCAATAGATCGGCGAGGATCTCCCGATGAAAACGAGTACAAACACGATATGGTTCCGACAACTTTTAATTTATCAAAAAGAAAATTTTCGAAAACGACGCGAGTAGCGTATAAGTGAAAGTTGTCCGAATGGTACCGTGTTTGGGCTCATATTAATCGGGGAAATCTTGTCGATCCATTGATAGCAATATTATGAAGATATAATGAAAGTTCGTATAGTTGACGCTTTGAAACATTATTTTATTTCGGTTTTCCACCCTGTATGCATAATGCAATTAAGAAAAGGACCGACATTTTCTTTTTATTCCATAACTTTTGGCGTGTCACGCGAGTCTCGTATTTTCATTCGAACGGTTACATTTTCTTGGACAACATCCAGCCAGTCGATGCTAAACGTTCCGACTGTTCGATTTGAAATTAAAGATGGCGTAAATGGAATACGCTTTTCTATTACCATTAATAAAAATAGAGATCGAACAAAAAAGTTCGCGAGTAAATTGATAGATATCTGCTTTTCGACGAATGTTTTTTAGTCGAAAAGCAGTATATTGCATTATTGCGCGTACAACTTGTTTTCAGAAAAAAGAATCGATCTCGAAAAACGGGAATGGATCCCCGCCGCTTGTTTCTTTGATTGCCTCGCATCCGATATTGGCAACGGTTGGCGAATGAAAAAGCACGCCGGCTGTTGAAGCGTCGGCGTTACGACAAACATTCGATATACGGTTCCGTTAAACTGCCAACTATTGATAAACCTTTCAATAACAACGCGATCCGATGAAATAACTTTAGCGCGCGTTGCTGGTCAATTTGTACGAATCGAATAAGCGACCAGCGTTCGAAATCATCCGTAAACAAACGAGTGCTCGTACTCCTTGAACGGCTGCTTCAAACGTTTCATACTTTTCGAGTTAAATATTATAATTATGAGTAATCTATCTCTGGGATAATAAAACCGCCATTGCTATAAAATTCGAAATATATCGCGTGGATCAAATAAAGTGTCAACACATTCACTGTCTGTGGCCCGTATATGGGTCACACGCACCACGCTATTGGATACGCCGCTGAGAGACCCGGACAGTGAACGCGTCGAAGATATCGACTACAATTTTTTTTTGATTAAATGGGTTCTATTCTTCTTTTCTAGGGTAGTACAACCATTGTTGATGTAAAATATTTATGATGAATGAATTGTATGTTGGTATATTGGTCGACTTACACATGTGTTCACCGAGTGGCCATACTTGCGGCCCGTAGTTGACCTCGACGAGGACGGTGGGTGTGCATATCAGAAGAACGCAGAGGTCAGCGAAGCTCAAGTTCACCAGGAAGATGTTCGTGCTGTTTCGCATGTCCTTGCCACGGAACACGACTAACGGTACCTGAGAAAGTAAAAAGTCTCGCTTATTCGAGGAACGAGACCGATCTTTCGCAGAGAGAACCACGAAGAAACCACAAATCACAATTTAAAAAAATAAATTGACAACTTGGTACCGTGTTTTAACAAATAAATTTTTGAGAAACTTTTTTTTTATTTTATATATTTATTTTCAGATTTAAATAATTAACGAAGTCGTAATTGAGTCTGAAATTAATTACTCGCCATAAGATTTCCAATTATGCCGAGGATCATCACTATTATGCAGAGAACCATGGACGTAGTGCGAATGTAAGCAGGTAACATGTAGTCCGCAGTTGCATTATCAGCCTCGAACGCTGAAACAATAACATTACCATTTAATTAGTTAAATTTCAACATATTCTGTATTATGAAACTTTTACGTTTCAACATTTCTGCACGATCGTAATTTCAACGGGTAATTTTAACAGAGAGAATTTACTAGATTCATAACTCCCACAATTTTTAATATTTTTGTATGAAAAAAAATTGTGCACGCTGAGAGAGGAAACATTACCCCTCGTTAAAAATAATTAAAAAAGAAAAAGTCGTTGAAAGATTGCAGCCTCGAAAATATTAACGAGACCCGTTTAAGGGGTGGGGATAATTATTTTACGTTTAAAATTACGTTTACCGCGTGATTCACAGAAAGTGTATTGTTACGGAGCCTGGAAAGAAATCCAATAAAGAAAAACTGTTTCTCGGGGCGAAAAAATGACAATGTCGAGGGGTTGACGAAACCGAATCATCCCCACTGTTCGCGTTCCCTCGACTAGAGTGACCCGTCGCCGCTCGGAACGATCGACAGCTGCGGAATTAAAACTCGCTGACCGAGCTTCAAAGCGATGCCGTAGGTGTATCAATGTGCCAGTCAATTATGCAAAACTAAAAACTTTTATGGGTCGCTCTAAGCCACATCGATTACTATTTCTGCCGATGTCAAGGATTTTATTGAAATCGAAACGCAATATGGTCCACCTACACCCGCTCGTGTCAATCTTTCGTTGGTTTCCGTCAATTCCAACGCGAACAAACGAATCTTTATCACCGAAACTATCAATCGTACCAAGTTTCCATCGATCCAAAAAATTTTTACGGGGATAAATTTTTCTGTTGCAAATTTCAACAGTGTGGGTGATTAATTTATTTAAAAAGACTGCTCGAGGCATCTTGCGACCCTCTGTTAAAAAAATAAAATTATCCTCGAACGACTCTGACGTTCTTCCATTTTGGGGGCTAAAAGGTACGATCTTTCATATTTAGGAAAATGTATCTTTAAATCCCAAGTTCCAATGTTGGCGTTCGAAATGGGGTAAAGCATTATGAAAGTATGATCGATGGGTCAAAGTAACCCCCGTTGCTCTTATCACAGACTGGCGCAAAGAAAATTCTGATAAATCGTGCGATGGAATGTTGTTTGTTTACACGTCACGTGGTGCCGGAGGAACATGCTGTTAATCTACAGTATATTAAACGTACAGCATGCCAACAACCAAGAAGATAAACCGCACGAGAAAGGCTTGTGTGCAGAAGGTAAAAATATAACCCGCAATTCTGAGCATACTCGTTCAAGTTCACCGTTTCGAACACCAAAATTAGAATACACGATCTACTGGAGCACCGAAGTAGATGAATGGGATTTACGGTGTGGCGCCATATTTGTTTCATCTAATAATTTACTCGAAAACAAACCAGCCAGAGGAAATCAATTTTTGTTAATACACAATACCGAATCTTTCCCATTTCTATGAAAAATAAAATGTCAAATTTATAATAATTTCAAATCAAATAATTATAATTTATAATTGTATTAATGCCTTTCAATCCCTGGATTTTCATCAAATAAAAATGCGAGAACAAACTAGACAGATTGAATTAATTTTGAGCCTTTTGAATTTCTATATAAAATAAAAGAAAATTCAAATATAAAATTCACCCTCTTGTCTTCCAACCCCCGGATTTTCGGCAAAGAAAAATGCGAGAACAAACTAAACAAATTAAATTAATTTTGAGCCTTCTGTATTTCTATATAAAATAAAAGAAAATTCAAATATAAAATTCACCCTCTTGGCTTTCAACCCCCGGATTTTCGCCAAACAAAAATGCGAGAACAAACTAGACAAATTAAATTAATTTTGAGCCTTTTGCATTTAAAAATGAAATAAAATTAACGTGGATATCAACGTACCGGACAGCTCGTCGCGACTATCGTTTCCAACAACAGTCGCGTAGTAGGAAGAATTGAATTCGAACGGCACGCTGGACACCGTGGACAACATTTTTCGTCCCCCTTTTGGATGGAGCGGAACGTATTCGATCGGTTTTTATCCAGTCGCGTCCGTCGTCGCGATTCCTCCCCCGTTATCGTCGACCATCCATCTCGTAACCGGCACCAGCGTTCGTAATATTTAAGGGTAGGAATAACGCAGCGCGTAAATTTCACCACACGATTACGCCTCGAACGGTCTCGCGTTACATATTTATGGACGTCACGGGTAACCGATGTCGCGAGCCCCCTGACGTCACGCACCGCCGCGCACAAACACACAAGACCACCGGAGAAACTTTTTTTACGTCGGCAGCTTCACGTTCGACTCGGCGCGGACACGCGGCGAAACTTCCCGAGCGACGCTGAATCGGCGGAACCGTCGACCGCGATGAAAATCCATCGGGAATCGTGAAAGGAAGGTTGGTGCCTTTGAACGATCGTCGGTTACGGTTTCCTTTGACTTCGAGACCGCCGCGGTATCCAGTGACATTATAAACTGCTTCTTCGTGACTCTGGTCCGCTTCCTCGAGAGAGAGAGAGAGAGGGGATGAGACTTCCGAGAGAGGGTTGGTTGTACTCGAACCGGTAATCAATCGTGCCACCCACGGAACACCGGGCACTCGTCAATCTTTTTTTCGAACAGCCAATTCGAACTTAATCAATTTAGACCCCCGTGTCGTCTCCAAAGGGACGAGGACGATTTTTATCGCATATATATTGTCTCTTACAAACGAATTCACCCTTTGTCGATGTTTGTTATTCCTACGATTTACACGCTCGTTAGCGGTTCGCTGGAAAAGATAAATTCGGGGATAAAGATCGAGGCCTACGGGCGGCGCTTTCTTTCGAACCCGTCGGTTAAAAATAGCAACGATTCCACGGGGTTTCACGACTCCCCCGCCCCCTCGAACACGTTCCTTGTTCCGTCGAGATAAATATTTTTTACCCCCCTTCGACTCCCTTTGTACCGTCCGTCCTGTCCGTCGTTCTGCAAATGTCGTATGTGGGTCGCGACGGGCACCTCAAGTATGTATTTACCTTGGCACGATCGGTTAACACCAATTAACTCCAGCGCTATCGAAATCTATCCGAAACCTAATTCCGCTTCGTTGCAGCCGATCGTGCGTGTCAACGAGATATGAATTGCGCTCGTGAAACGACCTGCCCCAACGACGTCAGCCTCACCAATTTTCGCTGCTAGAAATAAACTGGTGACTACTATTCCCAACTAGGGCTTGGACTCTTCGAACTGTTCGTTATTAAACCAAACTCGAGTACCGTTGCCTAATCGTTCCGACATTGTTATTCGAAAAACTACGTACACTCGTATTCGTATATTATAATTTTTTCGTTCGTTGAAATATTCAAGAATTTTTATTTTAATTATTTATTTGTATATTCTTCATTTTTCATTACTAGTCTGTTGATATTTAAAAACAAAAACAAAAGAAAAAAAGCAACTTTGTAAATAGAAGTGACACGGTAGTGTAGAGAACAGCATCAATTCTAGTCCGATTACCGAAGTGCAGCATCATTCGGCCGCGTGCAGTGGAGGATTGGGTGACCGCTCCGGAAAAACACACACCACATCACTCGTATTACTGTTTGTGGAATTATTAATGTACACTGTTTTAATATTTATATAATTATACCTCTCTATCGGTTTTGGAATTATTCATTATTTGAATATTATTAAAAAAAAAAACTAGTTCGTGAATAGAAGTAACACACATGTTATTAAAAGTTAACATTTGGTAAAAATAAATGTAGAGTCATTATAGCGTACGAATACAAGTGGGAATTTATATATCTTCTATGTAACAAAGCCCAGGGAACTGCCCCCGGAGTCTACCGTTTATAATCTTAATTAAAATTGCGAAAGAAAAGGCTATTCATCATCAGGATATGCAAATTCAAGGGAAACTTAAATATCATGACTATATAATCAGCTTCTGCCACGGTAGGGAGCATTATGGGTGCGCGATAATGAGAAATTAATTGCGAATATTGACGGAAACAATGAAAATTTAACCGATTCCAAAGGTTCCGTATTGTTCGATTGTTTATTAAACGACAGCCCGACGGTTGCGTTTTCGAACTCGTCGAACGACACGAAATAGAACCGAAACCTCGTTAATTATCTCGTGATAATTAAACTTCTCGCGATAACCCGTGGGTGTACCTTTCACGGGAATTACTCCCAGACCCAGACGGAATTATTTTCCGGGGGAAAAAACCTCTCGCGATTATACATAAAATTCGTTGCTATTAAAAAAAAAAAACCCCATCCATTGCGTATGTTTTACTCGAATTACCCTCGATGTTTATCGATGTTCCAACTCTCCGTGTTACGAGCGGCACACCAAAGACGATCTATCGACTTTTCTTTCATTCCCCCCTCCTCCACCCACGGGTAAAGGTAAAGTAAACGTGGAGAATTTCGCACCAGCCTTTTCATTCACTTTTCCGTCCGCATTGTTAGCCCGACAATCGAGTTTTTGAATCGCGGCAATGAGAAACCCGCGCGTCGGACCGCGACATAACCTGTACGCGTCTGTCAAACGAGAAAAGGTTCAACGATCGCATCGGTGATCGACGACGACGCTGTTGGCGTGAACGTTCGTCGGTGTCGGTCAAGTCACGGGAATTACTATGGTCGCGATAAACACGTGACGGGAACGAGGAGTTCGAGGCGACCGGGTATCCCGAACAACGACGACCATAGCGAGCAAATAGTACCGGTGAACTGAATGAATATCGCTGCTCGGCCCGCCACGATTCTCGAACGCCGCGCATGCGCGTGATTCTTTTTCTTCCTTCGATCCCTTCGCACGCGCGCTCCGATAACAACGTCGATTTCGTTTTCGTAGCCAAGTTAATTGTGCCCCGAAATATCCTGTATGCACTCGTAATTGAAAAAAACCCAATTTTCCGTCTATTTTTCTTTCCCTATCGAATTCGTTTTTCTTTTAAACGCAACCGTAACGAAATAAAACACGTTTCGTAAAGTATCGCCAATTTGTATTCCGCTTATAGACGAGCCGCTTAAAAGCATCGAATGCAGAATATCCCGTAACCGGCTGCATTAGCATTTTATATTTATCGGCCGGGCAACTAACGGAATACTCGATTCGATTTCGATATATTTTAATTTAGATAAAGGATCGCCGCGTATAAATTTCTATCGCGTGGGGGGATGGAGAAGTTTTAGAAACTTTGATCGATAGGATCCGGGGATCGGAGAAATTTCTAGCGAATCTTCGTTCGCGTAGAGAAATCGGCTTTATTTTAGTCGCTTTAGAGCCCCGGTAGAGGGCGGTTGAAACGTTGAGATTGGAAAGGGAATTTAATATACGGTGTTTATGTATATTGACGAGGCGCGGGGAACGATTGAAAAAGTTTCGTCGGATTATATCGAAATGGCGGAAAAGATTGAACGTTGAAAGTTTTACTCTAGCCGGCCCCCCGATAGATCACCGTAAGTACGATCGAGAAAAAGGGGCAGGCGGCGGAAAGATTTTGTTTCAAATTCCATTTACTCTTTGTCCCCCCGAACAATAACTTTCATACGTATGGAGGGAATATTTTTCTCCGTGTTCCTTTATGTTTGTTGATTGACTTTTCAGAGCGATTGGAACGGTCCAAGATTTCTCGAACAATTTTACCGGACGAAGGGGCTCAGAAAATACAGTATGACATTTTTAAAATTCACGCAACAATTTTAGAGTTACAAAAATTGATACTTCTGAATTTGTTGGAAATTATTTTATTTTAGATTTATTTGCTACAGATATTCCGACATTAACAATTTATTATTTTTAAAGTTCAAAATTCGTAAAAAATTTATTGTAAATTAGGTAAGCGAGAAAGATTTTTTCCGGAGTCCTTTTTGAAATGCAAGAAAGACGAGCCTTGCAGCCTCGCTTCGACACAAGGGGTCACACGTTAAATGGAACTTCGTATTAGGAATCCAAGCACATTCTATTTGGCTCTCACAGTCCACTCTATTCGTGCAATCGCCACAGGACGATCGTTCGATTTTACCATTTTGAGCGACTTTCGCGAGTTTTATTCCTAAATTTTATCGACCATTCTTTAACCGTAAATTGTTACGATATTATATCAATTCTCGCCGGGATCTTTATCGTTTCGACGAGCAAATTGCCTGCTACATTGTTATTCCAAAGTGCACTTTTTACACATTTATCGATTCAAAATGTACGCCATACATTTCCACGTGGTCCTCCTAGCAGGCCCTGCCTTGGTCGAGCGCTTGCGAGAAAGACAAGAGCGCTCTGGCGGAGCCCTCTGGTGGCGAATACAAGAGGTGAAATCTTCTACAAATTAATTAGAATAATACCGAGGAAAGACATTGGGCAAAAATAGTAGAAATTATTCAAACTTCGTATCAAAATATTACTTTGTTTCTTCCATAAATATAAAATATAAAATTGTAAAAAGATAAGCACCTTGTTAGAAATAAAACTAAATTGAAACGTTTCGAGGAGAGTTAACGAGCAAAACTCCAACTATTTAACAGCGTAGCGTGATGCAATCCCTAAAACATCGTTTGATTCCATCGAGGAAGTTAGCTGTTGAATATTTGAAGATTCCAGGACGGACCATCGCGACGATCGAGTGTCGACGCGTGGTTTACTTTATCGTTTTCAATTGAAAAGTCGTAAACCAGAGTCCGGAGCTAAGCGAAAAACGGTCCGGGATGCCCTGCCAAGAATATCTCGATACTCAAAGGGGCGGATTGTTAATTTATTGCAGAACGTCTAATCGCAGAGACGGTTTGATAAATCCGTTATACGTAAAAGATGTCGACTCTTTAACGAGGCTGACGCGTGGTTTACTTTAGCGTTATTCGTTTCGGTGGAGAAGTCGTAAAACAGAATCTAGAGCTAAACGATAAGCCAAGAATATCTCGATATTCAAAGACCAGATTGTTTATTCGTTGCACAACGTACAATTTTTAATGAATCTAATCAATAGTGTATCTCGTGGTTCCTAGAAATGTATCGTTGACCTAGTATCATGCTGTTATAGTGCTTGGTCTCGATTCGAATCGAGTAACGAAAGGTAAGAAAAGTAGGCTTGTGGCGTCGCCTCCCATGCTCGCCACCAGAGGGGTCGCGCTCTCACAAGCGCTCTCACGACCCCTCGCTATATATACACTCCTCGAACGACTTCCCGATATCCCAGTCGTCTAAGGCAGGGGCTGCTAGAAAGCCTTACTGACGAGTCCACTCCTTTCCTTTTCAGGTCCTCCTACTATTCTCACGAAATCCTACCCGCAGCGAAGCAGCGCCACAGGCTGAAGTACAATTTTCCTTCGACTTTTCTTTCAGTGTTACAATTAGA